TGTTTTATTGGAGGATCGAGACACTTTGTTTTCATTCACTTTTTCCTTTCATATCAATTTCAAAATCTTAAATATGCAATGCTTTATCCATGATGTTAAAGCAGGAGGTGTGCCGAAAAGTTGAAGGCAGTTTGTAAGGCCAACTTTGAAGGCATTAGACTTTAGTAGAAGTTAAGTTTTACTTAGTAGGGGATTATCTTGGTAGGAACCTTTCTGGAAGGTGGATTTCCTCTTACTATGTCACATATGTAATTGCTTGTTTGGTGGGTAATATAGTTTACATTTAACCAAAAATATTAATCTATCCTTACATAAATTATCTCACCATTTCCCCCTTGTCATGACATTGCAGAACTCAAGAGACAAGAGAAAAAATTGAATTGTCACAAGAATTTGAAAGTCCAAGTCCTCTTTCTACAACTCAATATTGACGTTTTTCATGTTTATCCCTCACCAAAATGTAAACAGGGATCATTTTTTTGTAAATTTTCCTCTTCAAACTCTTTAGTCTCAATATCAAAATCATATGAATTCTGAATACTAGAAACTAAAATCAAAATCAAAACCAAAACGCACTAGTTTAGTCTCTAACCTTAACACTAGAAACCATATGAATTCTTAAATTATGAATTGCCAACAAATGCAACAAACAATACATCAGCAATCCTCAGAAAACATTGACAGATAAACTACCAAAAATCATTAAATTTTACATCTGAACAGACCTCACCAGTCACCACAATTTTACTTCATATCCAGCTTACATCAGATCAGAATCTAAATTTTTTAAGACCAACCCCCACACAATTGAATATCCTCATCAAAGTTCCAAACTTTACAATCAAAACTTGAATTGCTATATGAATTATGAAACAACAACCATACTATTTCCCATTTCCAGATAGCATGTACAGACAAATAAAGTTCCAAAATTTACATCAAATTCTCAAATTGAAGCTCAGAAATTGGGTCTTACCTTTCTCTAAACGCTTCTGGGTCCTCCTAGTTCTTCAGCAGAAAAATGATGTTGAATTTTTTTGACTTACCAGAACCCCACTTGAAAATTCTCCTGTATACACTATTTGCCTATTTGTTACTTCCAGGCTCTAGCCAAAAGCTTTTTAACTACCACCCAATTTTCCAAATTACCGTTATTTAAATAAACGAGTCACCTTTTTCCATTCAATAAATGAAATAGTAAAAGGGTATCTTCATGGATGTGGTAAGAACAAAAAGTTCAAACATAAAGAGTGGTCAAAACATGTTTAGGTTGCTATAGTACTATAATAATGATTGAATTGTTATAAAATAAAATAAAAAGTATAGAGGAATTAAGAGTTAGATTGGAGTAGACCTTTAACAATAACGTTGATCTTGAATGGTTGATGTTGACTCTGAATAATTGAGTTAGAGTTGAGAGATAACTGTACACACAAATCAAAACAATACAGTTCACACAAATAGACAGAACATAGATCTGTCAGTAATTGACATAAGCTGCTGTAAAGTTATAATGTCTTTGTCTTTGTGGGTCCCTCTCACTCGATTTATATTTGTTTATTTGTGTGAAACAAATCATTATTGCTAGAATCGTGACTTGAAGCATTGTATTTTTTGAAAGCAAATGATGTGCTTTTTATATCATTATTTATTAATATTTAAGTATAACTGTAGTAATCTGAAGTTATAACTATAACATTGTTAGTCGTATATATTTTTTATATTTAAATACAGTATTCCTTTATTAGGTAAAATTCGCAAATTACCATGAAGTAAGTATTGGTAATAATAAAACGCAATCTACATAATTCACTTTTGAGCCAACCTTTGAATTATTAAATTATTATTTTGGGTAAAATTTAGTGAAATCTTTTTCCCAGCAAGGGAATTTAAGAGCTACACCGGTGTTGTCTGATCATAACAGGAGTTAATAGTTTATGTTTGGTCAACATAGTTGAAATTTAAGACTAGGTTTGGTTCAAGTTGGATATTTTGAGGCCCATAAATAAGTTCGGTCTCCGGAGCCCACAAAACTAATCATAGCCCACAAACACAAAATGCAAACTGTCCTAAAAAGAAACTTTTCTTCATAAAATAAACAGTAAATTTCACTCACAACCCCTTAACCTCTGCGTTTTAATGAAATTACACAAATCACTCCTCCATTTTTTGTCCTTACACCAATCACATCTCCCTCATACACAAATCACCCCTAGATTTATACATATATTACACTGACTATCCCTACATGTTATAAAAGTGTAATATTTTAAAGAAAAAACGTTTGATAAATGTAATTAAGTTAAACAAAATATTTTATATTGTGTAACACTTCAAATAGTTGAAAAGCAAGTGTTTCTTTATTATTTTTGTGTCATTAAAAAATACATTAATAATTTCAAAAAAATATTTAAATAACTCTTATGCTATTTTATAATGAACCAAATAATGAAGACGCATTGACTCTTATATTATTTGAATTTGTCTATACAATATACAATATTTTATTTAATTAATACACATATCATACGTTTTTTTGTTTAAAATATTATACTTTTTTATCATGTATGGGTAGTTAGTGTAACAAATGTACAAATCTAGGGGTGGTTCGTGTAAGGACAAAAAGTGAGGAGTGATTTGTGTAATTTCACTAAAACTTAGGAGGTGTAAGTGTAATTTACTCTAAAATAAATTAATTGTCATATAAAGTGAGGTTGGAGTAAAGCTAGAAAATTAGGGTGTCACATAGATACTTTAGTGGGTCCAAATCTTAGAATTTTGAGTTTTAGTCTGTGTGAATAGTTAAGTTAAATATTTGCTAGAGAACTATATTATTTATAATAATCATACCGGTTTTGAGTAACATTGTCTAAATAGAGAATATATGTGATTTAAATCAAAAGAAAAAAGAGTTACACAACATTTTTGTCCAACATGTTTTTCCAACCAACATGTACCTTAAGTATACTGGATTTTCCTAAATAACTCATCAAACATGACTACTTATAAAGAGTTAAAAAATGTCGAGTTATTTTTATTATTAGAACTCGTTACCTTTAACATTAGATAATATCTTAATCATTTTATGGAAGTTTACCCTCAAATTATATAATAAAGAAAATGAAAGCGTTTCAGCTGAATTGATAAGAGTGTGAGACATTTAAATGTGAAGAAAATAATGAAGTCTGATTTCCCAAATAATTTTATTCCTATTCTCCTATTGCTGCTCCTCCCTTCAGCCCTATCAATTGTCATATAGAGAAATTGACACATAACACTAGGATTACTTTAAGAGTTCAAAAAATTTATTTACTTTATAAATTAAATAATTCATAAATATTTAAAATTTTCTCATTCTCATATTTCAATACTGGCTAGAGAATATATATTTCCATATAAATTGATACTTACTATGGGTCCCTTCCACCAAACCCTAGGTGTGGGTTTTAGAAAGAATTTATGTTCTCATATTCCAAGTCAATCACACTGCATCAAGTAATATAAAAAAATATTATTTTCTGTTTTTTTAATTTTCTTTTTTATTACGTGTCAGTTTTTAACTAAATTGGTACATATTGGGACAAAAATATGGGACATGTGATCATTCTATTACCCCACTATAGTTGCTTTTGTAATTTTCTATTTACTATCTCTTCATACTCATAATACGATATGATCAATAGTCCAAGGAAGAGTGGGAAATAAAAGAATAACGAATCATTTCCCAAATGTGTATAATTAATTTTAATGTAGTGTTAAGTATACTGTTTCAGTCCCCTCTCTCCCATATTTATTTGAGTGGAATTAATTTTAATGTAGTGTTAAGTATACTCTTTTCGTCCACTCTCTCCCATATTTATTTGACTGGAATAATAGTATAAAGATTTATATACAGTTAGTGTATTATTTACCATTTACTTAAATTATTTTTCTGAAGAGTTAATGATAATTGAAAATGAATGGTGAATGATGCAATAACAACGTAAAAAAGTGAAAACTATTATATTGTCAAATGTCATCTTTTTCGCATTTTGTTAAAGATTTGTTTTTGTTTGCAGAAATGTTTTTTATTACATTCATAAAAATGTTTTTCTAAGAATGTGATACTTAGATGGATTTTATTTTGATACTTGATTGATATAAAATATTTTTAAGGATGTGATTTGTTTCTTAAAAAATGTATTTTTTAACAAGAAATTAGGAAAGTTGATAGCATCAAAAGTTATTCCACATTAAAAATTTGACTCACTTAACATCCACATATTCACAATTGTAGATTCCCTAGTATGTTATTTTTGTAGCATTTATTTATTTATTTTGTACAAAATTTCCATCAAATATGGACATTTCACATATGATTATGAGCTTGTCATTTTATCTTTATATGTTCCTCATGTCATCTTCATATATGCTCATAGTATCTTTATATATACTAGTAAGACCTTACTAGATTATCAGATAGATCAAAATGTTAATAGTTCGATTCAAGTAAGTAACATTTGTTAAAAATGATAATCATATAATCCAAAATGGATTAGCTTCTTACCCATAGGGTGAGATGAATGCATAACCGACAATAAGTGTAAAAATTACACATTCAGTGTCACAAACAAGTAAAAAAGATAAGAGGATTGTTGTATTGACAAGGACTTGCTAACTAAGCTTTTCGTCTGGCTCCTTCCACGCTTAACATGGCTTCCACGCTCGCTCAATGCCCCTGCGCTAAGCGAATATGAGCTGATTTGAGACTTTGCATGATTAGCTTATTTTGGTCTAATTAGCCCTTTTTTTAACCTGAAACATATAAGGAAGCTCGGAAAGTGAGATTAATACAATTTATAATCAAGATCTTAACTATGATTACATAAAGTAAATATTTAGAGTCAAAAGTGTTAAATTAACATTTTGAAATAAGGTAACTTTGACACTTAAAAAGTAAAACATGTAGTTATAGAGAAAAAAAAATAGTATTAAAAGCATTAAGGTGTGAGCATGTGTGTGAGACCCCTCTAGAAGGGTGAGGGATTTAAGGACACGTAGTTAATTGAAGCTTTGTGGCACATGGAAATGAATCCCGGGAAATCTTAGATAAGCTACACAATAAAACTATAAAGGATATTTTTGAAAAGATACTTCCAATTCCTCATAAGAAGTGACTCTAAAGCTAGCAATGCATGTCTCTATCTGAAACCATTTAAGGAAAGTCCATGACATTGAAAAGTCTTCACATAGCACTCAATAATCTTTATCTAGATGTCCTTTTGGATTTTAGTTGCTGCCAAAATATCCAAACAGACATTGGTAGGCTCTTTATTTTCATGGTTTAACTCCAACCAAATTTAAAGTGAACCAAACCTGTTTTCAAAGTGACAGTTTCACCTTCATGAGAATCATTCTTTTGAGTGTACCAAAAACCAATAAAAGAAGAAAAAAAGTTAATAACTTTTTACTAGATGGGCTACCAAGATAAATAAATGATTCTTCATTTGACAATGATTGTTGAATATGGAGAGGAATTTGCAAGCACCTTAAATATAAATCATGCTTAAGATTTTATTATAATTTCGTTACATATATCTTAAGATTTTGGATCAAGATATAATAACAACCATTCTTATATATTTTTCACTTAAATTTACTAGTTTAATCTCGGATTACTTTTGCTCTCGATTCCAAACAAAGTATTAGTATACAAAATCTATTGATGTCTTGAAAGCTAAATCCAAAGAGATTAGTGCTCCAAGCATAATTTGTTTGCATGGGTTCGAGATTAGGTATGCTTTAAGATTGTAATGTAGTTTCATTATGGTGTGGAAAGTGTTTTATCATCAACATAAAAACTTAGACAACAAGTTATGAGGCCAAAACAAAGTACTAAGGAATAAGATAGGTTGTTATGGCTAAACTAAAAGGTGGTAACATTGATTTCACTGTTCTAACAAATAGTCCATGATTTACCAAATTATCATGAATGACATTGACACTAAGACTCTACTCTCTCTCTCGCTATCTCTATCCATTTTCTACACACCGACAAGCATAGGCTTCCAAGTATGAACCACAGTGAAGAAAATAACAGTAATTTATGTCTAACATATCACAAAATTTTCACCAATTTAGCTATCCTATGCAGGTGAGTTGGTCATGGTAGGCAACAAATTTTTGGATAAAGAAAAGGACTAGAGTTGCTAGTCTTCTATATCCACCCACCTTACATATATAATTTGAGTAATGAATTAACCATGATGTGGAATTAAGCTAAAAGGCTTATGTAAATGAGAATTGACATTTACCAAACAAAATGTCAGATTTAAAGGAACTATGTATACCTGTTTTGTGCTAAGGGTACTCTTACCTATGCCTTATTGTCTGTACATTAATATCTTCTGAGACACTCATTTGCTTACAAGGGACAAAGAGTTTGGAATAGAAGGTACTCTCTTATCACAAAATTGTTCAAACTAAGGGAGGGGGGTAAGGGGGTCCCCCCATATCTTTAGATTACTTTCACATTAGAGAGAAGGAGTGAAAATGGTGAAGATAGAGGAAAAAGAATAGGAAGGAACCTAGCATTTTCTGTGAAGCATATGCAATATTGAAAAGCTGGGTTTTTCCTGTAGAATTAACATTTAGGCAAAAAGTGAAGCCAAAAAAAGGGGTTTGAAAAGTTTTAAAGTAATAATTCAAGTTTCATCATGCTTAGCAATCATGCATGTGTGTCTGCATGAAATTGATAAAACTTTTTGAGGAATATGTATTATGCTATTTTGCAGCAAGATAAAATTAACAGGAGTTTTTATTTGATACTATATTCAAGAGAAGCTAAGAAGGAAAATGGTAATATATAATAAATAACAAGCAATTAACTTTGGCACATCCACAAGAACAAAAACAAAAGGTCACATCACTAATGTAAACACTCAACTTTGCTTAAAGAAAATGATAATCTGATACAACAAGGTTAGAGCATCCTCAGCATGGGAAATGGGAAGGGATTATGCCATTATGGCATTGCTTCATATATTATTTTTTACATTAAATTGTTATTCTAAACCAATGTTGAGATTTGGGTTAACCTGTCAAAACCGACTTCTTCAATGTGATTTTTTCCCACATTCAAAAGTCGGTTTTCAAATTAACTTTTTATTGTAGTACCCTAAATTATTCTTAGAGTATCTTTTAATGAAGTTATATACTAATATTATACTTCATTGTCGATGTAATAAATATAAGTGTATTTTTTAACACAAAAAAAACTGTGATGAATATAATTAAGTTAAACAAAATGGTATATTATAGAGACAAATTCAAATAATATAGAATTTAATGTCCCTTCATTATTCTTTATTTGATACAAAATACATCAATAATTCTAAGAATATGTTCTTTAAATCAGTCTTATACTATTTTATAAGGAACTATAGAGATATTAACTTTTATATTATTTGTACTTGTTTTCATTATATATATATATATATCACTTTTTTTAATTTAATTATACTCATTAGACATGTTTTTTTTAGAATATTACATTTATATATCATGCGGGATAGTCAATATAATATATGTATATAAATTAAGAATGATTTGTGTAGAATGAATATTACGTCTCCCATTTTTTGCGTCCCAATCCAATTAAAAATGTCACTAATTAAAAATAAAAATAAAAATAGAGTATACTGTATATGTGATTGGTTTGGGACATGAAGATATGATTTTTTGGGACACCATTTGTGTAAGAGGGCATAGATCACTCATTCCAAACGATGTCTCATTCACTGTCTCAAACCAATGATATATTGCCACATGAATAAAAATAAATTTTTAAAAATAAAAAGTATTATTTTGATTGGTTTGGGACAGTGAATGAGAATGCGTTCGGGACAAGTGATATTTGTTCTGTATAGGAACAAAAAATATGAGATAATTTGTGTAATTTTACTAAAATTTAAATAATATAAGTGTTTATATATATATATTAATTATATATTTAAGATAGGTTAATGTAAAATATAAATGTCAGATATGTGTGGTAGGACAAATGATAGAATGCTAACATTAAAATGAATTTGGCATGAGATTTTTAAGTTAGTGAGAAATGTAAAGAAATATCCTTTACCTAGTTGAAGGCATGTTTTTTTGGGAAATTACATTTGGATACACTTCTCTAATTAATATATGAGTGATTAGGTGGGTAAAGGCTTTCTATTTAAGACTAAGTCCCAACATCTCAATCCACATAAAAGTGCTACATCTGAATTAACAGAGAAACAGAAACCCTCACTCAACCACTGAAATATTTATAAAGAATCATAAATCTTTAATAAGAATAAGATCTTCAACAAATTAAAATGCAAAACTCAACTTCCCTTGTATTCTAAAGAATGACACTGTATGTATAATTTATTCACATCAATAATTTGGTTTTGAAATAAGTGTTGAAAATAAGACTACTTTTGAAGCATGTTTAAATAATTGAAGCTTGGTATGACGTACATATATATATATATATATATATATTATATATATATATAAATGCACATGATGAAAAAGCTCCTAACATGCGTTATCATGAATGATTAAAGCACAATATTGAATAATATTTTTAGTACATAATCTCATCATGCCATGAACTTACTGTAAAACTGTACTAACTAACTGAAATAAATATACACCTTGGGGCCAGAAAGAGAGAGTAATAACAGTCTTTGATTCAAAGTTAAACTGTAAAACTGTGCTTAAGAGATCTCGAATCCCCAACTCCTATACCACGTTGATTTGTATGAGATTTGGTTGCTTGCTATTTAACTTTCCAAAAAGAAGAGCCATGCCAACTATGAACCAACTCTCACTAATATAATATTAATCAATAGTACTATTAAATTATTAGATTCATAATGTTCTTTACTTAATTTTATTTTAACATTGTACCAAACAATAGGGTCTCCACATAAAAGGGCAAACCATAATTTACAAGTGGCTACACCCTATTTGCTAAGATCTTGGCCTTTCCAAAGTACTACATAAAAGGAAGAAAAAAAAATGGTACTAAGGAATCTAATCTCTTTTGTGTAAGGGTGCTGGCTTTTATAATATTTTCTTCCTTGGACTATGTCCCTCTCCATGTTTGTCCATAGTTTCTCATACCATGTACTCATTTGCATGCTGCATATAAGATTTTCATATATTTAATGAAGAAAGATAAAGGCTTTACACCCATTTGTACAATTTACAATTACCCATGTTAGGTTGTGCATGCAATATCCACTTTTATTGCTACTCAAACATAAAAGACCAATCTTGCACTGTCATCTTGAATATTTTATTTGTACACCTAACCTTTAACTTGTACAATTCCTCTTCAGTTCTAGGGCCTTAGACTTCAACATATACAAAGCTGTATGGTAAGAGATTCCATTATTCTAAACCTTAGGTCTTCGTGAAATGTGAATACAGTTTTCAATGCCAACTAATAATGACATGGGAATTTTTTAAAAGAAAAGACCATCCAAGTTGGTAAAAAAGAGTTATTGTATTATTGAATTTGACCAATGAAAAAGATACTAGTATATTGCATTCATATTTATACTTGGAGTATATATATATATATATAGTAAGTATACACACCATATCTAATTTCATCCAAGTTAAAAGTACGCTTCAATAACAAAAAAAGAAAGTATTGTTGTGTAAAAAATGGAGACTACATAAAGTTTTTGTCCTCCTATTATTCCCCTCTTTTCTTTTTGTGGTTCTTTTTTTTTTTACTTTTTCCCTGTTCATGTATAATCTATTTGTTAGCTCCTATGATCCTACAAAGTTTTTGCAAGTTAATGGAGGTGGTTAAAGCCTGAGACTCAGCCTAAAGTATAGCATGTAGTTTAATGTTGTTAATGTTGTTGCGTATGGTTTACTTTGTTTTAATTGTTAGTGGGCACAACGATTATGGTACTTTGTTTTGTCATGTTTAAGCATATGTTTTAAAGGTAAATCAAATACAACATCTAAAAGAATAATAGTGATAATTCCTTTTGCAGAGCTAATGAACTAAAAGAAGATGGTAGTACTATAATACAAAAGTGGTAAGTTATTTGACATTATTTGACAAATTAAATAACTATGCTGAGGGAAAAAATCTTGATCATTATTTCCATCATGATATTGTAAAGTTACTTTGTATCTCCTCCTAGCCAAACATTCTTTGATCTAAGTTCTCAAATCTCAAACAAACATAAATCCCTCTATAGTTGCTAAGAATTCTCCTCCAAGAGCATCACTTAACCTAAAATATTCTTTGGTTTTACACCCATAAGTTCCCCATGTTAGGTTTCAATAACTATTTGTATGCCAAAAATATGTTCAAATAGTTACATCGATATTAATTTTCATATCTGAGGGCAAAATCCACTTCCTTAGATTCTGATATGTTGTTGAAATGAGAAGCATTTGTGGAAGATTTAGCATGAATTTCGTTGCGGCCACATACAATCAATTAAAGAACTCTAGCACAATATAAAACATTGATTCATCTCATTCATTCTGCAATGTGAAACTTTTTATAATAAATATATTTCAATCATCTTAACAAAATTTCCCCACAACATGCCCAACAATTCAAGCTCAGTCATTACTAAAGTAAAATCATGAAAGATAGTTTTTTTTCACTAAAATGTTGATATTTATGGTTGCTTATCATAGACTTTTTAATTCATTACAATTCTATCAATACCCATAAATCACTATTCATACCAAACAAATGGACCATCCTTCAGGCTATTTACAAAATGGAGGAATCATTTGCCAGCCTATTACACAGAGGGATGCATTATTCATTGTCTTGACTTGGGTATTCACAATAAATACCCAAAAGGGTGTTGATAGAATTGTCCATTTGTAAATATTAATGTAAATCCTTGTTGGATCTTGAGTACATTTTGACATATATTGAAACAATATGTTGTTGCTTTCTTGCAAACTTTAAAAAAAATTAATTTGATATTTTTTTGCATAAATATTTTATGATTATTGTTATGTAGAACTTGAGACAACAATTTTTATTCATTGTTGCCATATGTCAAAAACACTATTGCCTAAACAAAAGGAAATACCTTAAAGTACCACAATTAGAAAACTGTTGTCAATGACAAAAACAAAGACTTTTTATTATTAAACCATGGTTTCTAGTCGTTGCCATAGGTCAAAAATGTTTTAGTGGACGTATGAGCAAATGTCAAAGATTGTATTTTCAATTATTTATGCTAGACATTAATTCTTCAAACTAACACTTCTTTGGTTTCCACAGGCATTACAAACAAAGAAGAGGGTATGATGCATAAGATGGTAAAGTTATTTATCACAAATGAGATGGCATAGACAATGTATCTTCTTTTCACGTTATTTGATTTCTTTTATCTCTCACAGTTTCACTAATAATATTAAGTTATAATAATAGCAATAGGCATTAAAGAAATGAATAGATTACACCCCGCTAGATTTGGGGGCCTTGACCAAAATCAATAACAACCCTTATTAAAGATCTTAAGCACTTCTTTCAAGGTGTAATAAAGGACAATGCAATAAGATAAAAGAAAACCACTCCTGGTAAGAGTTGGCAATGTCAGTTGCTAGCTCAAACTGTTATGATCATCACTTAAAAAATGAGTTTAATAACTGGAAAATAAAGTTTTTTTAAATTGATAAAACCATGGAGAATAGGTTGTGTTGAGAGACATTATGTAAACTGCAAAGAATATCATATGGGTAACTTTGTAAAACAAAATATAGATTTGTTGTTGTTGATATTTTGGAAAATACACATACTATTTCTTTTAATATATAATATTTATGTGATGTTAGTATAAAGATTTATATATAGTCCATTATATTTATGTAGTGTTAACGTTTGAAAGGGAAAAAACAATCATTAATAATTTCTCAAAGTTGGGGAAGAAGAGCTTAAGGGGTAGGTAATGGGATTAATTAAATTAGTATTTTACGGTGGCAGTGGCGGTG